CAAAAACATATTTATCCTACTTGAATTTTTTTCATCGTTTTTTATATAGAAGCATCTCTAAAAATGTATGAATAAAACATGGTTTGAACTATTTGTTCGATCAATAAAAAACTTGCACCGGTCCTGTTCGAGCCATCACCGTTATACGCATGAGCTCCGACACACTATTTTCTCCTTAGGGTTTCAGTTTTGATATATGGAATCGGCTTTCTATACTATTTCTATGCCCCCAGCTGAGTTTTGTTTATAAATACGGGCCTTTTGGGTAAGTCGTCCTTGAACTAAAATCGAAGTTCGGTTACAACGTCACTCAAGTTCCAGGTGGTTCCGGTGTTACACTGGAATTTAGAGATGGATATTAGCAAATCTGTAACTGTTAAGTACATTTACGGATTTGTTACTACTCACAAAGTATATTAACCGTTAAGTAGCGACAGCTGGGGAACCGAATTCTAGTGCGCCGACGCGAAATAGAGAGGCGAGACGTCTTCTAAAGATGTAAACAACCCCTTTCACTTTAGTCCGGCAGCTGAGTGTCTTTTATTGGGTTTTGTTAAGAAAGGGAATTTTGTTAATTTTATATTTAATTTGGACATTTTTCATGAGCAATTTGAAAAAATCTTTATAGAGGATCAAATTTCTCATAAACTCTTACCATACTTTGGAAATATAACATTTGATCATCCTTGTAAAGAATTTCCAAAACTATTTTTGTATAAATTATTTATTAGGTGTAAAATATTTTATACATTAAAATTTAAGAATAGGGATTTAAAAAGTTACGGTTCAATAAAAAGCAAACAAGGTACACGTAAATTAAAGAACTTAATGCATAATGAAACATTTACTTGTTTAAATACCTATTTTTTAATAAATAATTTAAGATTTACACGTTGTTTCAATCTCTTTTTCCATTGGCCATAAAAAATTCATTAATTTTTCGGGGATATGTAATTAGAACCAAATAAATTAAAATCTTTTAAAATAAACGATTTTATTAGGGTCGTCAGAACACTAACATGGAAAAATATGCACTAAAAGTGAACAATATGTAAACCTGACAAATAACTGCTAAAAAAATATTCGTAAACTAATTAACGCACTCAAGTAATCTTGCCTGATTTAAACCATCATCTCTGCACTATCTCAAAGATATAATATGTGCCATTGACAAAAGTACTAATTCTTTTTGTTTAATTAAACAAAGATCTGTCCATTCAATTTACTTTTTAATGCAATTTTGTTGATCTGGTGACTAATAAAATCATTTACCTTAATTAATGTCTATTAAATTTATTGATAACTTAAATAGCAACATTATCACAGTATTAGCATTTATGCGCAATTATTACAAAACTTTTTTCCTGATAACTTTTCACAATTCAGTTCCTCAAATCACAGTCAATGACCTCAAACATACCAAATCCAAGTTTGAAACAAATCGGCTCATCAATACCAAAGGCTGCAAACTTTATCTTTGTTAAATTCAAGTTAAAACTCATATTTGGCGGCCTTAAACACCCCCAAGTTTAGGACAATCGGCTCATTAGGAAAGTCCGCCGTTTTAATATTTTTATGTTTAGATCAAAAATTGTATTAAGACCACCAAGTTTCTAGTTTGAGACATATCGGTTCTTAAACGGAAAAGTCTGCCATTTTGATTTCCTTGATTTTTTGTCAGAAATCACAATCAGCGACCTCAACTCAACAACCCCCAAACTTAAGTAAATCTATTCATAAGTATAAGAATAGTAAGATTGTCCCCTATTTTGCTGTTAACTACGAAAGCGTAGAGGGCCACGGTGAAAAAAAAATGACATTTATATCTTCCATTAGTGCTACTGCTAATTGACATTTACATCTGTTAATTAGGCTAATTCCTAGTTCTGTCTGTTAAGTTAATGCTAATTGACACTTACATCTGTCAATTAACGTTAAATGACATTTACATCTATTAGGTCTAAGTGTCAATTAGCATTAATCGACAGCCATAACTGGTAATCAGGCCTAATTGACAGATATACCTTAGACCAATTAGTAGTAATTGACAGCTAGAACTGGGAATTAGACCTAATCGACATATGTAAGTGAAAATTAGCACTAATTGGCAGATATCACTGTCAATTATATATTTTTTTCACTGTGATCCTTCTACGCTTTCGTAGTTTACAGTAAAATTCATCAAAAAATAGAATGATTGACGGAATGTCATCAGATTTGACACTGACTTCCATATTGTTGTATGAATAACTTGTCAAATCAGATACCTCTGTCAAACACTTTAAACGTGAATTAAAAGTTTTGAGTAACGGGGCGCATTATTAGTTAAAAATTGTAGTCAGCGACATGTTTAAACAACGCGAAATTTAAAGTTTGAGACAACTCCATTAATAAATAAGAAGGTCCATAAGTAATAATTTCTATTGTTATCAAAAATCAAAACCCTGTGCACCTACCAACTTTCAAGTCTCTAATTCATCCGGACGTAGGTAAAAAAATTGAAATTTATCAATAGTGATATATATTTTTATATTTACTACATAAGTTAAATACTCATAAATATAAAACTGCCTAATGACCAAACCTTTATTATAAATGTAAACAACAAAAGTTTTACTTCAAATTACGTCGAGCAGTGTAAACATCACATTCAAGACCAGTTCATAATTCGAGCAGTGCTTTAGGGTGTATTCGGAAATGCTCTAGCTCTAGCTGAAAATGGCGGCAAACCTAAAGCTTTTTAGCTAGATCTAGAGCATTTCCGAATGCACCCTATCTGTGTCGTTCCGTCAATAACGTCAAAAGAGAGAGAAAGAAAATTTGTACCACCCAAGATCAAAGGCACCGACTCTTTATGTCGCTACTCAACGGTTAATATACTTTGCTACTCAGCTGAGTCGGGCTCACAAAGCACGTATCTTCTAGAGACCCCACGCCAATGTTAAACTTTTAAACCAAATTGGCGCCACCTTGTGTTTGGAGCTGGAACTAAAATGACAATTGACAGATATGGCGGTAAATTCAAATTGTAATTTTTAGGAGTAGGTAGTAGTTTTAAATTAAATTTTAAATGATTTCCACATAAAGTATTTTATAAAATAAAGAATGGAACTAGTAAGTTCGAAACTTTTATTTTACAAAATAATTTAGGTCGATTATACCAAATTTGAGGAATTAATTTGTTATAAGCAGGGGTCTGATGTGAAGAGTTGGTTCTGCATACTATTATTAAATAAATATAAGATATATCAATAAACAATAAAATAGAACATTCTTAAAATATGTTTATTAATAAAACTTAAATAATATTATTAGATAAAAATAAATACAAATAATAATACATATTTAACGAATACTTACTTGCAGCAAATAGGTATATAATCTCAAATCTTTAAAATACCTATCAATAATTTAAATGTGAAGTAGAGACTAGGATATTACATTTTATTAACACTAAAATAATATATTTTATAAATGTCTTTTAAACCGAGGACAAATGTAATATAGGTATTGTATTAAAAGGTGAATCCTTTTAACTATTCATTCAATGATAAATAGGTATTTTCCTTCCAAATACAGATGGTGGTATTACTCCACTGCTTTGTGTATTCTCTTATGTGAAAAATGATTTCGGAATCTAGTCCAGTGATAAATTGATTATCAATTAGTTGTTATACCCGTTTCTTTTTATGATGCAGATGCATGGTAAATCAATGAAGTTTTTCTCGAAGTTTTCAACGTAGCACCCACAGGTAGCACCAAAATTATTGCAAAACACAGTAGGTTATAACTAAGACGAAACTATCTCAGATAAACAAATGTTTATTTGTTTATCTGAGGAAACTATAAACAGAAACCAAAAGCCAAAGCCAACAAAAAATCACTAAAATCAGACGGAAAAATGAGATTAACCAAAAACATAAATAAATACACGTCACATCTTTGGAGTCTTTGGTTAAGTGTTTCTCCCATGAAGCTTAAAAATGGAGTAAGAAATCAGAATTTTACCAGTAGCCCCATCTAGAGTTTGGAGCAAATAGCATAAAAAATGTCAATTGTCGGTTTTGACCTTGGTCATTCACGTGGAACCTCTATGTGCTTTGTGGTCGGGCTTGGTTGAGATTTGTTTATAAATACCGGACCTTGTAGTGTACGAACCGCTTTTGGTAACATTTGATTAATCTACGTCTTACAGGGTTGCTCAAACTGATTTTTTTTCACTTTTTTTTTTAATTGTTTTGGACATTGAAATTTTGACTTTTAAATTTTAACATTTTCTTATCAATCTCAAAAATTGTTTGCTAACTTTTTTCCATAGACATTTTTCATCAAAATTATTCAGGATATTTTATTTTTAATAAATGTTTTGTTTATTCTGATATATAAAGGCGAGTTCGGATAGTCAGGGGCTGGAGCGGGACAAAAGCGGAGTTTTTTAGGGTGCTTTTAAATGACATTTAAGCGTGTTAAACTGTCACTAATCGGACTAAACCGAACGCTAAAAGGGTCTTTAAGAGTAAAAAGTGTTAAAGGAGTTAAAAGAACGTGGTATAGAGAAAGTAAAAGTTGAAAAGTCTTTTGGTAGGTAGAGAGGGGGTAAACGTCAAACCACGTCGGGCGGCTCCGTGAATTTCACAGTAATGTTTACCTGCCAGTGTCGTTTCATAGAATAAGTAATTTTAAATTGTTATCGGCGGAACCGGACAATCGCATGTATTTATGGATTATAAATAATTATTAAACATGTATTATAATATTCAAATTATAATTTTACAAAATTTCAACAGCTATTCACAATTTATTAAACTATTTACTCGAAATTGTTATTAACATCTATAAAATAATTTTGTACGCCAATGTATCGTGTCCACTTCGGTTAGATCCGCTGACAACCTGTCAAGTTATGTGTATAAAGTGGGAGAACTGACAAAAGCATTTCCAACTTTTACTTCTGTTCTAGACCGAACGCAATGATAATATTCCAAGATAAAAAAACACGATAGTGTTGCACTTTTATTTGGACTAATACATGGGGGTTCAGTATACAACAAGATTGTTAATTTAGGTAGCTACATTTATTTTAGCTATTATGAAAACATGTGGACAATGTTGGTTATCGATTTGTACTTGTTGGGCAATACCTTCATACGGACTCCTTGAACAAAACATTTACGGTTTAATAAAACTTGTTTTTAAAGTATTACATTCTGGATACTACTATTTTGTCCAACTGGTAAAAAAGATAATCGTGACAGAAAGTTTTAATTTTTTTTATTTTTGAAGATTTCATCTCAAATGGAGTGTCACTTTCAAGTTCAACCCATTTAAAGGCGGATTCCAACGACGAGTGGATCGACGAATCCCGAGTTCAGTCCGCCAATCTCCGCGCCATGGGAATGAACTGGCGCGTAATTTCTGGCGGGGTTTGGTCTTTTCCGCGAGTTGTCGGTAAATTTAATTCTAGTCAAAGGAAGTCTAGGATGGCATCTTGTAAGTCTTGAGCCAGAACTAACACACGTCGTGGAATCGCATTCACATGCCCAGCCTTGATTATCGAGCCGAGCCTCGACGAGCCCGATCCACAAGCCAGGCTCGACTAACCACATGCCATGGGAATCGGCCTTTAAATGACTCGTTATATTATCGAACATCGGCAAAAGTAATTGATTTACAGTTCAAACTTAAAAACAACTATATAAAAATTATAAAGACGTTTCCATGGTTACGAAAATCAAAATAATGTCAAATATGAATTTTTAGATGAAATTTACTGCAATAAATTGAAATGCAACAAATTTTTACTCATTGGCATGTTTGTACAGTTGGACAAAAATCTTGTTTGTATTTAGTGGTGAATTCAGTGTTTAACAACGAACTTGATTGAATTTTGCAAACTTAATAATAGCCGACGGTTCCTTAATGACCACTTCGGCCTGTTTCAATCCTGGTTAGTTGTTTCACCATTCCTGAGACTTCTTGCATCAATTGTTTGATGGATGACTTGCACAATACCTTAGAAACTCCATAGAAGGGTTCAAGGCCTGTCATGGCTTTATCTGGGTTTTCGCGGACTAGTTCGTCGGTGTTTCCATTGTCCTGATAGCCTTCGTGGCCTAGTAGTACCCAGGCTCAGGTTACTTTGTTTTGACTGCTTAGCTCTGTCAGGTATTCTAGGCAATTTTTCACCAGTCGTGATTTGATTTCTGGTAAAAGAATTGTTTTTAGAGCTAGACTCGGCGAATTCGTTGTTTTCGACTTGGGTTCAAAGATTTGACCCAACCTTTCTTGGGTTTTAAACCGTGTATACCAGACGAGTTCAGCCTGTATGGGAGGTTCCTGCTTTCTTCTTGTATGAAGATGAGCAGTGGCGTGGGGTTTAATATTACCTACATTGCTGTAGTTGTGATAGTATGCATGGTCCCTGTGGCGAACGCCGGTATATTGCACTACTTTCCTGCGCAGTTTTGGATACCACGCCGCTGCGCCTTAGATTATCATGGATCTAATCACTCTTGTGTATAACCATATAGTCAGTTTGGAACTTAATCCTTAGGTTCCAGTTTTTCCCGCAAATTATTCTATAGCTTAGGAGAGCTAGTGGAGCTTTGTATGCAAGTTTTTTAATGTTTCACGTCAGCCATTTCGTCGATATTAACTCCGAGGTATTTGGCTTTTGTGACAAATGAAATAAGCCATGTTGTTTAGTACTAGTGCTCTTAGTCCTATAAGTATCAATTTTTTTGTGAATGGTACAATTTTTTTTATGCATTAACACGTTGAAGGACAGTAAAAAATTTTTACAAGATACCAATTTGGCAGTACAGTTTTTGCAATAAAACTAATTTTTAAGCATTATTAACTATTACTATTTGAAAAAAATAGTAAAAACCCATTTTTTTGTCAGTACATCACTGACGTTCGAACGTGTTGTTGGATATCATTATATCGTACGGTAAAGGCAAACGCTGAACGACGTCGTGTCATTTTCAACTATCAATCAGAAGACGACGATCAGAACAAGACGCTTTTCTGCATCTCTGTCCTTCAACGTGTTAATGGACCTTGTGCACCAGTTGTTCACTATCTTTAAAGATGTTTTGAGAGCCAATGGTAACCTTCTTTGGACAGTTTATAAATCAATAAACCAATTCACCAGCTTTTAGCTCGCATGGACTACATTATAAACAGATAAAATGATGAATATGTTGAGGCAAAATGTGATGTTTTTTTCTTACCTTTAGCACTTTTTTTATATTGACTTATCGCATAGAAAAGATTCATATTGTCCTTGACCATTCCATCGAAGAAAAGAGACTTTAACCTGGGGCATTGTAATATTATGGCAAAAATTACCTCATCCAGATTTTCCTGATTGTTTCGGATGTCCAATTTTACCGTTTCTAAATCAAATAAATGAAACACAAAAAATATTATACCTACTAAAAAAGATTCCAATAATTGCATACCTAAAGTCTTGTGGTAATTATTAATCAGCCTCCTTAAGGTACTCTCAAAATTTCTACTTATTTTTTGATTATATTTGTTACTAGATATTATAGTAAATGAATTCAGCGGTATGTTATCCATTAGAAATATGAATTCAATTTGTTCGTGGTGACAAATGTTTCCTGGAGAATAAAAGAAGATCAGAATTTCCTATTATTTGTAGGTGCGTATGTGGGTGCGTATCGCAGGTTTGAAATTTCTGATTCACAAAGAAAAAAATAGATACACTCGATTCACTTCAAGTTGTGTCTCAGGCAACTGTGAATCTGTGATATAAGTTTCTACTTCATTTTAAAGAAAATTAGTTTATTTTTAGTTATCAGATTTAGATGAGTGATACTCTCCTACTTTTTATAACTACTGGAACAGTCCTCTTAAAAACTTCAAATCGATGACCTAAATTAAAACATAGTACCCAACACAACCTCCTGGAATAACAACTTAAAGTGAATTCAGTGCATAGTTCATCTTGTTCTTGCTCTGAACTGGTTCTTTTAACTATAAGAAACATGATTGAAGATCTTACTTATTTTAATAGAAACTTTTATATCTGGACAACATTTCTTCAGTCTGTTCCACTTTCTGGCTGGTATAACGACACTGTGGAGATCAGTTTCATCGAAAAATATTTCCAAAGACTTCAAATGATCTTTTCCGTTATCCGATATAATATCTATGACTTTAGGGCGAGACAATATAAAATAATCAATCTTTATTTCTTGAAGGTAAATGAATTCTTTAAGAAATCCTACGAATTCTACTGTGTCGAATGCGGTGTTGAAATTGTAATAGTTGTTGTGAATTTCCAAATAGGTGACAGTGTTTTTAGATCCCAGACAAGCGTTTAAAATCTTCAGGCATTCCTTTTTTGGCAAGTTAACATTGCGGAGTACCAGACTTTGCAGTTTTAACTGCATTCTGAAAGTGATCGAAAGTTTAATTCATCTTACAAGAAATACAAAAAATATTCTTACTTTAAAAAGCGACTAAGATGATAAATTATTTTCTTGAATGCGTAAATGTCATACCATTCGAAAATTTTGAAACGATTCAGTTGTACGCAGTTATCGCACAAAATGAAAAGAAAATGAACGACTCTTTTGGTTAAGTCGTGGACCTTCAGAGGCAGCCATCGGTTTTGAACTAGAGGCCTGTCCCATCCGATCGCAAAAGATCTTATGTGCCTATTATATTCTCCAACTAGTAGTGTACTACTTGGTTCCAAAAAGTCCTTATCCACATGAAGTACGACGTGTGTCCACAAGAAGCGTCGATCTAGGGCTTCCTTCCATTTCTGACAGACTATGGCACAAGAGAGCCTGTCCGGCCGAGATAAATGTTTAAAAATCTCGGATACTACTTCTGTGGGAATATAATCCTGCCATAAACTACCCATTTTCTAAAGGAGTCCGCATATTTGGCTAGTTTGAAAATCTATTCAAAAATTTCCGGAAAATAAAAAAAAAACTAAATTAACATAATTGATTGTCCAAAATATGTTTCTGTCGTGGGTTATTTGACAATACTAGATTCCATCCATCATATTTACAAACAAATGGATTTTTAAAGGCTCGTTTAGACGACGTATGTATTGGTACCCTACATGAGTTTCAGCTCATGGTTGGCGTTAGAGGACTCGTTCAAAACTGGCGAGCAAAAAAACTGAAAGAATATAAATGACTAAAAAGTTGTCCAAAAAATTCATAACTGAATCTAATTTTATTTGTAAATGAATTTTACAGATATTCTAATTATCGAAAAATAATGCTAAGGTATTCGAGAATATTATATTACAAAAACGTTTAACATCGTTTCTTAAAAAATATAACGTCCTCTTTAACGCTGCGCTATCACGACGAGATATTAGAGAGTTATTGCAAGTTCAGTTAAGGTCAGTCACTATTAGTGCCGCTCTTATTTTGACATCTGAGCATGTGCAGATCACTATCTTTAATAAAGATTGTGTCTGTCGTTAATAGAGAGATATTGCAAATTTCTATAAAGCCAGCCACTAAACTTTAAATTATAGTTCATCTTTTTTTTGTCTATAATATTAAAGAGGCATAAGAAATTATAATTTTAGAAGGTTTAAATGACGATTATATTAAATATTTAATATTAAAAAACTTCTAATGGCGAGCGCATCCGAAAACTATAAAGTCGCCACTACCTGCTGCCCTTAAACATCCACAATTAAAGACAGGCACAATCCTTAATAAAGTCAGTTTTAGAACGTAAACATCTGCACATGCTTAGATGTCAAAATAAGAGCGGCACTAATAGTGACTGACCTTAAGTAAACTTGCAATAACTCTCTTATTAAGGACATACACAATCTTTATTAAAGTTAGTGATCTGCGCATGCTTAGATGTCAAAATAAGAGCGGCACTAATAATAATAATAATAATAAGCTTTATTGTCTAACAGGTAGTCCCATTTACAAGACAATGCAATTAACATATAATTAAAGTATCTATATAAATTATAAATAAAGTAAACAATGTTGTTTCAATACAATTAAAACAATGATTGAAAAAATGATTTATAAAACAATGAAATTGAAACAATGATTAAAACAATGATTGACGAGTACAATTAATGAATTTGGGTAAGGTCATACCAAATATATCAATATCATAATTGAAACTGGCAAGATTATTATATGTTTCACACATGTTGTAGATTGGTGATTTTAACATAAGATTGGTATTACTTTGGTTGAGATAAAATAATGTTCTTAATCTAGTGTTCTTGTTCGGAATACGCCAGCATATTTGATTTAATATTTCCGAGCAGTCAATTCTATTATTTAGCAACTTATACCTTAAGTGAACTTGCAATAACTCTCTATTATTTAATAGTTTTGTGTTTCGTTTGCCTCCGATCAGCTGGTTTAACTGAATAATATATGAAATAGCAGACCATTTTTTATTTTAAAAAAAGAAAGTTACTAAAGTTTCGGGCAGAGATAAGGAAGATAAAGATAGGAAACGCCCATAAGAAGCCATATTCAGGGCTGGTATATCTAAGGGGGTCGCGACATAGACCCAGTAAATGGATGAGGGGGTGACTGAGGCTAGGGGGGAAATAGTAGTCAGCTTAAGTTGGCAACACTTTTCTAACGTTCGTTTGAACGAGCATCGTGCATAATAATGTTAATATGGTACAAGTGGAATGAACTACTGTTTTCCTGGTAGTCCAATGTCGAATTAAAACTAAAACCATTTTGTATTTTTTATATACCAAATTATGCAATTTGTTTCCACTTTATTTTAATGTTACATGAATAGGTACATGCGTTTGTGCTGTGGTAAATAAGTGTTCATGTGAAAATTATCTCTTAAACTACATTGTGATTACACTCATCTCAAAATTGAATACTGTAAATCCAGGATTTAAATCTTTCATAGTGTTGCTTGGGATAAATTGTAAAAAAGGTGTTGGGCAAAACGTTTACAACCTAAAATTGCATGAAAAACATGATAGAAGAAGGAATTTTACCTTTATGACATTCTCTTTCAACATTTTTAAGTGACTTTGTGGTTTGGTGAATGGACTGTTACCACAGTCAAAAGATTCAAAGTAAAAAAAAAGTGACCAAGTTCTAATAAGAATACATAAGTTGAATATGAAAATGTAATTACTTGATTTAAATGTGATTTAATTAAGAGTTAAATAGAGGTTTCATATAAACAGTGCTGTAAAATGTTAATAAATGCAAAACCATTATTAAAGAGAAATTAGTTATCATCAATAAGATATTTTGTAGTAGCTGGTCTCTATAAATAATAAACTTGAAATACTGAATTAGTAGTCACTTTTACACTAGAAGTAAAAACAAACAAAAATGTGTGGTTGAGACTAATTTATGTATTTAATAAAAACATATTTAACATAAAAGCAGGTGTTATTTGAAATGTTTTATTTTAGTTTAATAATCTTTATAAATTGTGGGTACATTTGATCCGAATCTTGCAAATACTATAAAATGCATATGCTTCTATATGGTTAGTATTAGAGTAGAAGCACAAAAGTTTTGAATAAAAATATAGATACCGAAATATTTTGCTTGATTACTAAACTTTGGATGTTTTTGTTGTAGTCTGCTGTTAACACTATTGTTCTGAAATATTAAAAAGCTAGACAAAGGTTTGTCCAACTCTTTTGTCAGCTTTGTAAATCTATGCTACTGTTATTCTGCATGCAGACATTTTTTACTGGAGATTTTCTCTAAGAACTGTATTCAGTTTCAAATTTCGGCCAGTTTTAGGAAAGTACCTCTGTTGTAAAGGTATTTCAAATCCATCCTTTGTAAGATGTAGACAACAAATACATGCTAAAATGTATAGAAAACAAATCTCAAGATATTACACAAAATTATTTAAATTAACTAAAAACATACAAATGAAGTGAATAATACCTACCAACAATTTAAAAAGACCTAAAATAAATAGACTTAAGGGACTGGAGCTCTAAAAAAGGGAGCAATAATTTGTTATGCATCATCTATAAGAAAATTGTCTTCATCTCTTCAATTACCTTTTAAAATAAACAAAACTAAAACAGCACAAAATTGAAAGTGATCTACTTTTCCCGACGTATTTTGTGTACATCTGAGATTAATAATTTATTAAATTGAAATATTTTATCCTAAAAAATATGGGCATTTTATAATGGAAATGTCATTTAAGAAATGACATTGATTTTTTTTCTTATATTGGTAAACCTGGCGACTACAAGTTGCCACGTTGCCAGATCAATGGCGACTACTATGTGACTACTATTTCGAAAAAAATGGCGTCCAAAATGGACTCCTATGTCGCGACCCCCTTAGATATACCAGCCCTGGCCATATTATCTAAGTGCTTAACAACGACCAGCTTTATGGCAGTTAACATCTGACCCACTATGTGGCGCTTTCATCGATATCAAACAACGCAGCGGGAAATTTAAAAATCTGATAATAAAGGTTGCATAAATATCGACTGTACTCTTATGTTCTTGCAAATAAACTTAAATAATGTAATTACGCTAAATTATTTACTTAGATAAAATCTAAGATTATTTATTAAAAAGAATACTACACTTACAGTCTATTATCGATTATTTATTGTAAATCTATATTCATGACAAATATTTTTTAATTTTTGATTGTTATTTGTAACATTGTATTTTTGTTTTTATTTTGGTTCTTATTTAAAAATGTTGAGTGCAAATTCAATAATATCAAATGTTCTTCCTAACGCTTTGAAGCCATTTTCTTGTTCTAAAACAATTAATAATACATAAACACCTACTTTGTGACAACAGTTGATTACTATTTGTGATACTTACATGAATAGATTTTACCTACTTTGGTTAATTAAAGAACGCCACATTTGGGTTGTTAAATTTGTTCATGTGGCATGTGTTACTAATGCAATACGTTCTCCGACTTATTGTATTATTACAAAATATAATTATTATCCTTAAATTTCACACCAAAACAGCCACAACTATTTCGCTTAGTTCATCTAGAGGAAAACACAATCATGAACTCAAAATTTAAAATTTAAATTCAGAATTCTTCGATATACATAAAACTGACATTTATATTTACAAACTGTCCACGTCTACTGTCTGTCACAGTGTTGCCTACCGTACGATTTAAATCGTATTTATACGATTTTTTAACTCTATGTACGATGTACGATTGCATTAGTGAGATCGTACGTAAAAATACGATCTTCACTTTTTTAGTAGGTTTATTTAAATATCTGCAACAACTTCAGAACATAAAACAATAAAAATTAAAAACTACGTGCATAGATTCATAGTCCGTTCGTAATTTCTGAAGGCAGTCATTTTCGTTCTGACTTATCGTGATTTTGACCATGGTGATTTTGTACACTATCACGGTATAAGAAAAGCTTGCATGCAAAATTTCAATCACTTTCAAGTGACAGTCATTAATTACTTTAAATGTGTTAAAGTTTCATGTATTTTCTTTAGTTTTTTTTTTCGTTGTAAACTTTTTTATAAATAGATAAATAAATTATCATGCCAAAGTTTTTTTTTATTTTTCATTCCATTTAAGTTATATTATGCTATGCATGTATCTATTGTACAATTTTTTTGTGGCAATACCAATTTTCTACTCTACTTGTACGATCTCTCAAAAAAAATATTTGGCAACACTGGTCTCTCTACAAACGACGTAGGGTAACACCTTTAGGTATTACCTAGTCTAAAGCCTTGGTTTCTTTGAACACTTCGTCGCGATGAGCGGACAGTCCGTTAACCGTCGCGTTTTGACGATTTTATCCAACCAGAGTATTTAAATGGGAATGGTTTTCTTGAATCCGCTTAGCTGAACAGGACGGCGTCATGCCGCTGATTTGTCGCGAAAAGTCGGTTGATATCTGTTGAGTTTGATATCAGCGGAATCGTCGGCGTGTGCGGAGACTATATTGTTATTAATTTTAAAACAATGAGTGACAAATTCACACATACAGATGACATCATGACTTTATTTTTAGGTTTCTTGGAAATTATGTCCTTTATAAAACTCAACACGAATTCAAAAAGATCTGTAGAAAGTCTAAAATACTCCCTAAATTTGGTTTCATTTCCAAAAAGCCTCCGCTGCACAGTGATATTAAAGGCATCTTCTGTATCGCGA